GCAGGTTTTTTAAATTCTCAGTATAATTTAAAAAATTGATGTATTCACGGGGGTTCTGAATTTGGACCCATTAACGACATAAACTGAAACCAAAACAATATAGATACATATAATATGAACTTCTACTATGTTTATTATAACTGTAACTTGGCTTTATTACAGAATGCGAACGTGATATCATCAGGTCCTCTTCTTCTAACAAACGTGTCTCGATACAACGCATCTACATATACTTGTGTAGCAAGAAATGTAGTTGGTTCTGCTTATGCTAAAGTACAAGTCGTGGTTGAATGGCCTCCAGCCTTTGTAGACCATACTTCGACCAGTGTGGAAGTGTTGAGAGGAGACGACTGGTACTTCGACTGCGCTGCCGATGCAAAACCTAGAGCTAAGGTTAGTATCCAATAAGTACAAGTTTTAGAGAGCCATGCTTTGAATGGGCCGTCTCGACCGGAGTGATACCACGGCCTCACAGAAGACCGACGTGAAACAACGCTTTCGTTGTGTTTCGTCGTGTGTGTGAGGTTACCGGAGCGGAGGCCCAATTAAAATTGACGTATTTTTTATTCAATTTTCAGACTAAATGGATGTTCAAGTCCAAACCTCTAGTGTTTGAAGACAAGCCCCGTTTGAAAGTGATCAATATACAGCCTCATAACGCGGGCGAATACAAATGTATAGTCAGCAATGTACATGGGACGGTCATCAAACAGTTCTCTTTGAACGTCTTGAGTAAGTACATGACGACATATATATAATTATATATGTACTAGCTTTTACCCGCGGCTTCGCTCGCGTCACAAAAGGATAAAAAGTAGCCTACGTGATATATACCAATATACACAGCGCCATCTATACCAATAATTTCGTTTTCCCTCGAGAATATCAAATTTTTCCGGGATAAAAAGTACCCTATTATTTAATCCAGACTTCTAACTTTACGTCTGCAAAAATTCAAAGCAATCGGTTTAGTAGTTACGGCTTGAAAGCGGAACAAACAAACAAACTCACTTTCCGATTTATAATATTAGTAAGGATGTACATTGACTTTTAGAAAGAAACAATTTTATATTATATTACGATAATTAATTTAACAAATCTTTTTATGATTCTTTTTATGACTAGTTTTAGAGGCTTATGACCTCTTAACTTCGATCTTCAGTTTCTCAAACGTCTGTTGTTTTTAGTCAGTAAGAGTCTGACACTCCCTCCCGTCTCACCCAGGCGGGAGCAGTCATTCGATGATTTTTCCCCCTTAAAAAAACCCCTAAAATGGCATTTACCCTGTTTTACCTTTAATTTCATATCTACATGGTTCTTTTGTTGCAGTTCCGCCATTTATATCGGAGTTTGATATGTTAGACGTACAGTTGAAGGAAGGCGTTAATGCGACATTACAGTGCAATGCTAGAGGAACGCCACAGCCTACACTTACATGGACATACAAGTATGTATGATTATAATGTTTTTTGTTTTATCGTCAATTTTCTCTCGCTCTCTCTTTGCTAGACTATCACATGTTCCTCCGTAGTTTTACACTTTCTATATTCCAAAATTAAATATAGAATATTTGCATAACAACTTTAGTGAGACATATTTAATTAATTGTTATGTTTTTCTGCTTACTCACGCAACTATTTGACGATGAACTCGCCTAGTTTCAAGGCACTCTAAGGGCTCATATTCTTGGAGGTTATACGCCGGGGTCGTGCGGTCCATGGCCCTCTACGGCGCCCCTGTGTGGGCGCCGAACCTGTTGCGGCGTCCCGCTCGGACGCTACTTATGGCACAGAGGGTTATGGCGATCCGAATGATCCGCGGATACCGCACGGTCTCCGGGGAGTCGGCGAACCTCCTTGCCGGATTACCGCCGTAGGATCTGGAGGCGAAGGTGCTCGCGCGCGTGTATAGCATGCGCGCGGAGGCACGTCGCCGGGGCGAAACTCCGCTGCCGCGCCAGATAAGTGCGTGGCGGGATGAGCTCCGGCGCGATCTCATGGCGGAATGGCAGCAACGACTGTCGCAACCGAGGGCTGGGCTCGCTGCCATCGCAGCGGTAAGTCCCCTCTTTGAGGAGTGGCTTGAGAGACGCTACGGCGTCCTCACCTACCGCCTGACGCAGGTCCTCACCGGACATGGCAGTTTCGGGAGGTACCTGTGTCTGATGGGGCGGGAGGAAACGCCCGGGTGTCATCACTGCGAGGACCGCCCTGAGGACACGGTGGAACACACGGTGGGAGAATGCCCTTCGTGGGCTGAGCACCGCCGTGTCCTCAGGGAAGTGATCGGCGATGGCGACCTCTCGCGTCCGGGCCTAGTGCAGGCCATGATGCGGAGCGAGGGGGATTGGGATGCCGTCTCCTCCTTTTGCGAAGCAGTCATGCTAGCTAAGGAGGAGGCGGGACGCGTGAGGCAGCGAAGCGCTGCCTCCTCGCAACCCAGCCATCGCGAAGGACACACCGGGCGTCGGGGATCGCGGGACGATCTCCGGCCACCGTAAGCGCGGGCCTGCGGACGGCGAGCATGGGTGGCTCCCCGTCCGACCAGAAACAGACCCGAGCGTACGGCGCGTCGCGTTCCGCGCGCGCCTCAAAGAGCCATCAGACCACCACAGATGGGGCCCAATAGGGCCGATGCCGATTCGGAGTCGCGGAGAACCTAACGGGTAACCGGGGCTCCGGCTCGACGTGCAGGAGAAGGAACGGGGTGGTTTTTAGTCAGTAAGAGTCTGACACTCCCTCCCGCCTCACCCAGGCGGGGGCAGTCATTCGATGATTTTCCCCCCTTAAAAAAAAAAAAAAAAAAAGGCCGAGTGGTCGCAAGTACGAGTGCCGGGAGGGGGGTCTTGGGTTTGTTTCCCGGGTAGGACAAGTATTACAGGGTTTTTAAAAAAAACCTCAGTAGTAGTACGGAGTCTGGAAATGCGCCCGGTATATGGCAATAGGCTCACTCCTTATTACATGTGACTTATAACATAAATAGTGAAAAGTGGGTGTTACATTGTACAGTGGCATTAAGGCATTAAGTGCCGCAATGTGCACGTCTGCCTACCCCTTCGGGGATAAAAGGCGTGAAGTTATGTTATTGGTGGTACTTACTTTACTACATGTAGCGCGCGCCTAAACACCCGTGACACCTGAAAAGTCACAAGTACATTGGTATGTCCCTTACTAATATTATACGTAAGATATTAATAGTATTCGATAACTGGGGTTGTGTGTATGTGTGTATGTTTGTATGTTTGTTACTCAATCATGTCAAAACGGCTGAAGGGGTCGAGACAAAATTTGTAGCAGGAATAGATTATGGTCTGAAATAACATATAGACTACTTTTTATCCCACAACAACGCGGGCGAAACCGCGACCAGAAGCTTGTTTTAAATATAGTTTTAAAACAGTGTAGACACTAGTGTAAATAATAGTAGCAAGTACATAGATGTCAACTTAGGCCTACTGTCCAAGTCGCGGAGAACCTAACGGGTTACCGGGGCCCCGGCTCGAAGCGCAAGCGAAGGAACAGGGTGGATTTTAGTCAGTAAGAGTCTGACACTGCCACCCACCCAGGCGGGAGCAGTCATTCGATGCTTTCCCCCCTTAAAAAAAAGGCGTACTGTCCAAATGCATGTAAACTACAATTGACAACAAGCGTTGGCCATCTTACTTATACAAAATGGAAACTGTCCACGAAGCAGCAAAGTTGCGTCACTCACTCCTCACACGAACCCGCCTATCGTCATTAGTAGGTTGCATGTATTCGTCAAATGCCGCGTCGCGGACACTAAGCCTTAATAGAAGACAGGAGTCATGTCCACGTACTAAAAGTACCGGTTTTCTAGCAAGGATCACGTTTACGTGTCACGTGCAAAGCTGCAGGGAATCCGATCCCCGATATACAATGGATACATCAAGGGCTCGTAGTCAGTGAGAATTCATACGACATCGACTATGCAGATTTGATACTTAATGACGTGCAATTGGCTCAAAGTGGTGTCTATACTTGCGTGGCCAGTAACGAAGGTGGTACTCACGAGAAGAAGATCAAAATTGATGTACTTGGTGAGTCATAGACTGATAGATTATAATATTATATAATGTTAAGTCTGTTTTTTCTATTAGTCAATAATTCTATTCTAAGGGACATATGTCCCACGATATTTATCGGCGACATGTCAAGGTCAAGCGAAGCCCGGTGATTTCGCCCGACATATTATAAGGCGACAACGCGCGCCTATTATGTCCACACCGACGTTGATTTTGCCAGACATTTCGTTTCGACCAAAGTCGTGCAACGTCACTCTACTTCACCCATTAGCTTGCGACACGTGTCGCAGGACATTTTTTTTTTTATATATTTGATGGGGCGACGTTTGACCACCATATCGTCTGGTGGTAAGCGATGATGCGGTCTACGATGGGGCACGTCGTCCCATAAGCAACCTATTCACTCAGGCCTTATTTATCCTTAGCTGTATAGTCACCGGGTTTTTCAGATTCAGGAAATTGATCAATCAATTCCCAACGAGTATTATATATTCCCAAATCTATAATATAGAATCAATTCTATAACCTCGTGTACAAACTCTTTTCGTCGATTTGACTAACGGAACTGTATATCGTCAGATTTGGAGATACAGAGTATTTATTTGTGATTCCTTTTAACATTGCTTTTTGTTACTTATTCATAATTATATTTACGTTTTTTTTATAGAGCCACCAAAAATATTCCAAGAATTATTCCAAAATGCAAACGTAACATCGAATGAAGTTCACCTAGAAGTAATATCGGGCCAATCGTTCTACCTCCACTGCCATCCTTATGGAAACCCACAGCCAGAAATCTACTGGTTCAAAGACGATTTACCATTAAAGTTTTTTGATGATGCTATGGTTTCTACGGACTTCGGAGAAGTGGTTGTAGCAAAGAAAGCGGTACAGGAACAGTCGGGAAATTACACTTGTGTCGCTAGAAATAAGGTCGGAAATACAAGCGTGGTTTATTTGGTCGATGTTTTGGGTAAGTGCTGGTACATTATTTTTCAAAGAATATGTTTTCTTTTTTGTGTTAGTGGCAAGGACTCTGTTTATCCGATATTGATTAGTCTTCACAGATCTTCTATTAGTAATTTCGGCCATAAGACATTTTTTTATCATTATTCCCGTTCACTGAACATCATCAACATATTCTACCATTGAACTCGATCTTCATCTGTTCAAATCCACCCATTTTGCGACTATCATTCTTTAGAACTCTAATCTACCTTAGTCGTCTTTGCTTCTCCAACAAAATATCACATTTGTTTTTTTTTTTGTAAATTGAGTAATTTTAGGTTGACAAAATCAATACATAGTATAAAACAAAGTCGCTTTCGCTGTATGTCCGTATGTATGCTTAGATCTTTAAAACTACGCAACGGATTTTGATGCGGTTTTTTTTAATAGATAGAGTGATTCTTAAGGAAGGTTTGTATGTATATACATATTGCACCCGTGCGAAGCCGGGGCGGGTCGCTAGTTATTATATAATTTGCACTTTTTTGAAAAGTCTCTTGTATTTCAGTCCCTCCGCCATCACCGAAAGAATCTACCAAAAAGGTGACAATTGGCTTTGCAAAGCCACTGGTGTTAACTTGTCCAGCAGTGGGCAGTCCTTCGCCCAGCGTCATGTGGGTGAAGCATCCCTATTCAGAAATAAGTAGGAATGATCGAGTACACCTTACTGATGATAATTTTACTATGGTAAGTTAAATCTGACACTAAAATTAGTTTATAAAAATGCAACTCTGATATTTAGGTTCTTTAAAATAAGGTTGGTTTTTTGTAAGCAACCAAATGTTTACATTCGTATTACATTATACCTGTTTGGCTTTTGACCCTTTATTTGGGGCAAGTGAGGAAAATAAGACGTTCGACGACGATATTAACGTTCATAATACTAATAAAAGTGTTCTTAATCTTACCCACGTAGTGACAGCACAGTGAAATTCATTTGCCCTTGTTGTTCCCACGAGTATCTTAAAGATTCAATTACTTACACGCTAAACGCCGATCGTGGACATTAAGGCAAACTCCTCATGTCTCTAACAGTGGATTTTCACATACCGATAATATCTTCAAATATCGTTGTACAGGTCATAAACAGAACAGAAGTGACGGACGGTGGTAAGTACTCCTGCATTATGACAAACAAAGTCGGTACTACAGAGGTTATATATGACGTCACAATACACAAACCACCGTCCATTGCTGGTAATGTTGGCAATAATCTTGTGGAAGGACACGTAGTCGCTTTGAAAAGAAGCATTGTATTGAAATGTGAAGCTGACGGACATCCAATGCCGAAGATTACATGGTTGAAGGTACCTTACCTATATTCTTATTTTACTTCAGAATAAACATATAAGTTTTTTGATGATGGTGTAGACATAGACAAAAACCAATTAACCAATCGTTATGCTTAAGATTGTTCAGTCTTAATTAAAATGAAAAATATTCGTCCCATAAATCAGCGCCTCACGGGAAAATTTATCTTACGATTGATGTTTACGGTCTTATTTTCAGGACACGCAAATACTAAGTGAGAGTTTAGCAAACATACAACGGGTTTTGGGGAACAGTTTGTTGGCTATATGGAGCGCTAACGTCAGAGACGCGGGACAATACATTTGTGTAGTGGAAAATGAAGCTGGTACTGCTCATCGAAGGTACAATGTTGCAATACAAGGTAAGCTAACACAAAGTTTTGAAGCCCAATATAATTTATCCCCAAGGTACGATCTCCAATTCTTAAAAGGTAGGCATCACTCAAGTAACTCCTCTAGGGTTGCAAGTGACCATGGGCAGTGCCGATTCTTTTCCATCAGGCAATCCTTCTCCTCGTTCGCCCCGGTATGCCATTAAAAACATAACATCATAACATCACGCCTTTTATCCCCGAAGGGGTAGGCTGAGGTGCACATTATATACCACTGTACAATGTAACACCCACTTTTCACTATTTATGTTATGAGTCCCTTGTAATAGGGGGTGAGCCTATTGCCATATACCGGGCACAAATCCAGACTCCGTGCTACTACTGAGAATTTTTTTAAAACCCAGTAATACTTTGCCCGACCCGGGAATCGAACCCGAGACCTCCTGCCCGGCAGTCGCACTTGCGACCACTCGGCCAACGAGGCAGTTAAAAAGTAGTGAATAGTCCAAACTAAAACTCATCAAAATTGTAGTAGTAAATTCGACGTATGAAAGGGTGTTTGACGAGTTCTCAGAACTCAGTCAGACATAGACAGTGTCTAACAGTATCATGATAATTAACTTCATAAGTGATGTTTAATATATATTCTAGTACCAGCAAAATGGAGTTCGTGGACACAATGGACTTTATGTAATGTAACCTGTGGATTAGGATACCAACTGAGATCGAGGTCTTGTCACTTTGTCGACGATAAAAATATGACTATTGGTAAGTCACTCAAAGTTTTTGAAAATCTTCCGAAACTTAAAAAAGCCGTTTGATAAACATAATCATGACGTAAAATAAAAAATAATGAAAATTTGTCAAGGTTCATGTACTATTTACAAAATTGTATTTGCTTGAAATGATAATTAGTTGCAATTGCTTTTCTCAATGTCTTTTTATCATTCACGCAATGAATTTTGTATAGGGACATGGTGGAACACCACAAGGTTCCATTTTGGGGCCAATGTAAAAAATAATGTCACATGTGTGCTAGTTCAGTTTTTGATTAAATTCACATTTCAGACAGTTCTTCAAAATCAGAGAAAATAATTCTTGATCAAACAGCGTGTAGAGGCCCGACAGTCGATAAAAGGAGATGTCATATGCCTCCTTGCGATGTGAGTATATCGTTTAAATATTTTATGTTAATTGAGATAAATCCAACTAAAAAAACTAGGGAACAGAATTTACGACTGTCATAACATAAGATGTAAATACACTAAGATAATAGTGTTTTCATTTTAATATGAATATGTTATAGTTGTTTAGACACCACTGAGAAACGGTGAAGGAAAACATTGTAAGGAAATCTGGGCTTATAATTTCAAATTATAAGTTTGAAATCGACAACCTGCATTGAGCAAGTGTGGTGATTAATGCTGAAACCTTCTCCGTGTCGCGGAGAACCTAACGGGTAACCGGGGCTCCGGCTCGACGTGCAGGAGAAGGAACGGGGTGGTTTTTAGTCAGTAAGAGTCTGACACTCCCTCCCGCCTCACCCAGGCAGGAGCAGTGATTCGATGATTTTCCCCCCTTAAAAAAAAAAACCTCCGTGTGAGAAAAGGCTCTTTGGTCAGCAGTGGCCACTTATAGGCTGTTGATGATGTGATGTGATGTTAAAGTTAAAAGTACAAAATATTGTAGGTGGACGAATCAAAGCCCCGCTGGTCGATGTGGTCCCAGTGGTCGGAGTGTTCAGCAACGTGTGGAGTAGGGACTCAGGCGCGGACCCGACGGTGCAAGACTAAAGCCAAGTGCGAGGGAGATAATGTACAGGTAACAATATCCTTTTTATTTGAGTCGGCCTGTAACGGGTTTAAGTTTATTAATTAAAGTACAAGTTTATTCATTTTTATGGTAAGTTCCGTGTAATAGGAGATGATCGTGTTGCCATACACTGGATTCTGTTCCTGATGTTTGTAATTCAATTTTCATATTTTTCATCTATATAATTTCATGTATGAAATTTACAGTATATTACACATTTTTTTGTTTGTTACTCAGTTAATTAGTTCGTTCAATAAGTACTAACAAATACGTTGACTTTCAGATAAAGAAGTGTCCGGACTTACCGCTGTGTAGTCCTGCTTTAAACCAAAATAATGTTAACGAAGTTACTGATAACAATAACAACAATGAGGACAACAGCGACACTGTAAGTACAACATACCAAAAATATTCAAATTATATCTAGCCGTTCTAGAGTTTAACTCACAAAAACGATCTCCCAAGGTAACATGGGATCACAGTTGGAGCAAAATTTAGAGACGTTGTTACCCGTGCATTTTGTTATAGTGTCAAACCATTGGACATTGATTTTTTTATAGCTACTGTGATTGGACAAGCATTCACGTAATGTAGATCAACGCCATCTGTGAACACAAAAACTAAGAACTAAAATTGTTTCAGGATTCTTACCTTCCAGATCTTACCTATGAAATACAGCCAGAAACAATCAACTCATATTCCTCTCCGGACGTCGAAGAATTTTATAGCACATCAGGTAATTTTACTACCCTAGTCGTAGTATATTAGTAGGTGGTAGATTAGTGTGGGAGAGCCATGCTTCGGCACGACCGGTCGAGACGACCGGAGTGATACCCACAGCCTCGCAGAAGACCGACGAAATCAACGTTTGCGTTGTGTTTCGTCGTGTGAGTGAGGTTACAGGAGGCCCAATTACCAATAATTTTTATTGTGAAAATATTTTCTACAGATTAAAACGTCGTACTACGTCGTAGTTATTAGCTACGGCGTAGCCACGTAGCCAACTTTTATTCAAGCTATATTTTTTCTAAATCACAAAGTAATATGACCGTTATGCCACTGATATAAGATTGCTTTTCCAGGCTCACAAGCTACAACAGTTTTCTTCGATGTTAGCGTGACGGAGAATTTGGATCACAGTGATAGAGGACCGTGTGATCCTGGATATAGGCACAATGCTTCATATAATACTTGTGAAGGTATGCCATATGATGCATCTGTTTTCTTTTAACACATTTCACTACGTTTCACAACTTTTATGTTAATATGGCTTTAAGAGTTTTTCAAGAGCTTATAAATTATTGTTATTATTTACAAAAGTACCTAATTACCTATTTCGAATGTAATATCTATAGTATTTTAGAGTTAGCTACATTTTTGATTTTAAAGGTAAACTCCTTACAATAAGGTTGATATTGATAATCGTCAAGCAAGTTTATTGTGTGTGTAGATATAGACGAGTGTCTGTTCGAGACGAACCAGTGTCACTCGACGCAGGTGTGTGTCAACACGGACGGCGCGTACCGGTGCGCCTGTACACCTGGGTACCTCGCACTGGCGGCCGGCCAGAGGTGTCTAGGTAACGACTATTCTTTACAATCATTTATTTCATTTAAATTTTGAAGCAACTAAATTTTGAAGCAGATATCTTCAACCTGCTGCTGCCTCGTTGGTTGAGGGGTCGGAAGTGCAACTACTGGGCAAGGGGTCCCGAGTTCGATTCCCGGGTCGGGCAAAGTATTACTGGTTTTTTTTTTTAATTCTCAGTAGTAGCACGGAGTCTCGTATTGTGCCCGGTATATGGCAATAGGCTCACCCCCTATTACATGGGACTCATAACATAAATAGTAAAAGTTGGTGTTACATTGTACAGTGGCATAACGTAAACGTATTACGTAACCTACCCTTTCGGGGATAAAAGGCGTGATGTTATATGTATATACCTATCTTCAACCGATTGAGGTGAAATTTTGTATATACGTTAAGTTTGCATGGTCATAAATGCTAAACTGCATAAAAGCTTGTTTTTTTTTTATAGATTGTTAGAAATTATAATTCTCAGTTTGTGATATAATACGGCGGCAAACGAGCAAACTGAGGCTTAGTATCAGTTTATTTTACGCTTGACAAGTTCGAAACGAGACCGCCTACAGCGGTCTGATTGGTTGATTCATTGGAACTGGCTATTCAAACTCGTACTAAGCCCTTTGATGGTAAACAAATAGCGCACTCGGGGATATGGGGAATAGGGGATTGATGAAAGGGGGGGACAATTTTCCTAATCTACGTAGAATTTTACGTAACTAACGTAACAAAACAGTGTGTTGCTGATCATGTAGAAAATTGATTGATAAGGAATATATTTCTACTTATCAGGTGGCTGTGGTATGGTTGAGGTGCAAGCCCCAATCTAATCTTAACCTCACATCTGTTTGTCTAATAAAGAATTAGCATGTATCACACCATAAAACAATTAATTTTTGACAGTTTTAGTAAATAGACAACATCACTACTTCACTAGCACCATATCGGTAGCTTAAAGAGATGCCATTTATAAGTAGCCGTGATCCCGAATATGATGGTCGCAATTAATTTAAGCTCCTGTCTATTGATATATGAAACAAAATAGAAAACACGTTATGTCTCGCGTAAACCTGTGGTCCGACATTTCACAGGTTAATCGAGTTTCACTTTCATGACATAAAACATTATCATTTTTACTCAGTAAATTTTTTGTTCTCAGATATAAACGAGTGCGAGTTGGAGACGGACGGGTGTTCGCACTCGTGCGTGAATACAGCGGGCGGGTACGCGTGCGCGTGTCCACGACATTTGCGCCTGCATATAGACAAACATCATTGTGTTACACGTAATAATATTTTATTTTACCTTATGTTAATAAGTAGCCACTTCTCATCGTAGCGTGATGTTTTAGAGCCCTCCTTCCTCGATAAATACATTAATAGACTATCCAACACAAAACGTAATATTTTGGGCGGGGAATGATGCTTGTGATAAATCGAATGCAACATGAGGAAATGTGTATACAGAAATACATAGATATAGAAAATAACCTATTGACTTTTGGACTATTATTGTATATTGTAAGCTTTATTGGAATCGGCCAACGTGGCAAGGATTGAGGCGTCATCTTATCTTATACTATTATATAAAGCGGAAGAGTTTGTTTGTTTGTTTGAACGCACTAATCTCCGTAACTACAAGTCTGATTTGAATAATTCTTTTTGTGTTGGATAACGCATTTATTGAGGATGACTATAGGCTATAAAACATCACGCTACGACTAATAGGAGCTGGGCAGAGCGTGTGAAACCGCACTCAAGTAGCTAGTGTACACATAAATGTCCTAAAGCCGGTGACGCTGTGTGTTAGGTTGTTCCGTTCCCAATAAAAAGGTTGACCCGACCAATTGCTGACACACGTCATACTCATGAACGGGTGCCTTCTGCTGGGTCAGGTCGGCTCTCCCATCTTGCTGGTGGGCTGAAACTAGTCGAGTTCCTCGTTAAATAATTACGCGAGAAAGCCGAAAAACATAATAATTCAATTAAGTACCAATTATGTTAATTTAATTCAACTTTTTTACTTTTGTTTCAGCCGCGTTGTACCGAAGACCGCTCAGCGAGTTAGAGTCTGAATACCTGAGCACCACAATAGACTTTCCAACGAAATACACTAAAACTATAAGAAATACTAAATCTTGACAACTTCTGTGTGGTTTTCCTAGAAAATAATTAAAGATGAAATGAAATATAATTATCTGTAAGTAATTAATATACAATCAATGTATAAATATTATCAAAATTTTAAATTAACATTTGTGTTTAATAGACTCAAAGTCAAACACCTCTTTCTTTTTAAACGCCTGAGGCCTTAGTACGAGTACCTATGTTTTACGTTTCAAATAATCGAAACGAGATCGCCTTCGGCGCTCTCATTGGCCGGCTCCAATAAACTAACCAATCAGAGCGCCGAACGTGGTCTCGTTCTCGGTAGTCTGTTAGGAAAATTAAAGTTATGTATTTATTTAATACTACGGGGAAATTATTGTTAGGTGAGTATTGTTGTAAATTATTTTGGAAATAAAATATCGAAATATTATTGTAATTAATGTTTTATTATTTCTACGTGCTTATTACTCTGTGAATTGCGTCAGTAGGTACATACATATATGTATAACAGTATAACATTCTAGTTTATTCGGAAATTATTTGATTTCTACTTATTTTTTTACATCGCGTTCGACTTTCAGTTAGTTAATTATGTACTCTAATAAATAGATCATACGATTTCTACTTATATTAAACTACCTAAGTCACATCCTTCATTTTATCTAAGTATACCTACGTATTTCGACCCAGAATTAAAGCCATTATTTAATAAGAGAAGTGCTACATCTGCATAGTCTATTTAGGTGGAAATAGAATTAACTTTAAGTATTTATAGAAAATAGACGCTTTAGAAAAACAACTACACAGATATACTGTGAACAACCATAATTTCAATGTGATTATACTATTAGGTAGGTCTTGACTTTGTCTATCTAATACACCTAAACAACGACTTACAACACTAATGGTAAATAGATATTCCTTATTATTACAGTAAATATAATTAAAATTTTCTTCCGTGTAAGAAAATACATCTCTACAGTGTGTAAGTTGATAAAAATATATTTTGTCTAGTTGTCTACGTTGCGATGGGTGCGAGCCGCTCGTTTCCTATAATTTTCTTTATAGGTCCTCGCTTTGCGTCAAGTACTCGCTCGTCGTTCTTTCGGGCGATGTTTCTGGAACGTAAGGCCAATAAATATAAGAACGAATCAACACTGATCTGCAGTCCCATTTCTTCATCAAAAATATAACGTTAAATAGATAAGTAAGTTTTTGATGGAAATGGTTGAACATAAAATGAAGAAAATATATTTACATGGATAAAATGAAACTGAAAATTTTTAACGTGATTTACGAGTAGTAAAATAGTAGCTTAACTCGTCGAGTACCGGTTTTGTAGACACAATTATAGAACAATAGGTTGCGGTTACCGGTGACCGGTTGGTGTTTGACAGTTTAATGGAGCTACGATGGTTTCTGAGTCGGGATATCTCGGAGATGACTCCGACTCCAATTTAATAGGTAGGTACCTTAGATTTAACACATTAAACGCCATGGGGGTCACCGGTGACCGACGTTACCGGAGGATTTGCCTTCAACAGTTTTTTATGGCAGTCAAAGCCTTAAATATAGCTATTTTATTTCGATATTGCCACGCAATACCTAGGATGTTTGTTTCCATTGCCTGGCTATAGATTACACCAGGAATAAATGCAGGCTCCGTGACATTATACGCCGAGAATCAACACTAAATACAGAAATCTGAATATGGTGTCTCTAATTTTTCGAATAAAAAAGCTATTTTATCCCACTGCCCATTACCAACACTATAGCACAACCCACATATACATAACTAAGTGGGCTCGAAGTGGGAGTAAGAACAGGATGGTCTTTAGTCAGTAAGAGTCTGACTCTCCCTCCTTCCTCCTCCAAGGCGACAGAAATAATAGGGTAGATTAATAATTTTTATTTTAATATCCGTATAGTAGATTATTTAAAATTATTAGACACAGATTCTTTTTACGGACACAGATACTTTCGTTCGACGATATATTGATTTGAAATACCTATATCGTGACGTCACTTTTGTGTACGTTTTATACTCAAAAGTGAAATTTAAGTATCGTTTTATTAATGAAAAATACGGAGCTAATATTTTTTTATTACCTAACTGACGGACTAATTAGATTTGTAATTTTAATACCCTGTCTTCCTCAAATTTTCACCCCTATTGGATGATTAACCAGCTCAAAAAAGATACTTACAATTTCCCATGATACTTACTGCCAGTAGCTACTATTCTTCTGCAGTCGCATGATATTGTTCTGACATATCATCAACTCGTTCTGCAAATAAGTTCTTTGGTCGTTCACTCTCACGAACAACTAGAAAAGTAAGGATTACATTACTGAAATTAACCCATTTAAACGAAGTTACATACATAATCGATATGACCAACGTACTACAGAGTCTGGGTATGGTACCTGTCTATTTAAAAACGGGACATTCGATTAAATTCTATTTCATACCTACCTTAGACTCCGAGTCCAAGCGCCACTCTTTGCTTCGCAGCGTACTTATTAAGTCTGTTTTCAGACGCTCAAACCTTTTCACTGTCCGCAACAGTTCAGCCTGGAAGTATTGTAAGTAAATATAACCCAGGTGCTAGGCGATTCTGTAACTCTCAATTCGAACTTTCAAAGTGAAGTCGATCGCATTCTCGCCCGTCATTGGTCGCGATTATTCTCACAACCAATGACATACCGGACCGCAATGGAGTTCACTTGGATCTTTCAAATTGAAAGTTACAAAATAGCCCAGCTGATTTCGTTAAATTATGGGCAATAAGGGCCCACACCTACACAAAGCCGGCTCGACGTAATGTCCTTACTCTCGAATCCATTTCCGATTGATTGACATTGATATTGTAAAATTTCATAAGTACCTACTCTTGAGATGTAACACTAGCGCCCATTACATCCGTATTGCGTGGATATTGAATGAACTAAATGGTATTCAGTTTGGTTTTATATTCCGTACTCAGTACTCTGAATGTTATTTTAAGAGCTACGATAGGGGTTGTATAGTTTTGACATTGAATAATTATTGAGATTTTATTGGATTGAAATTGCATTGACATAGAGATTGGTTTCAAGAGTAAGCACCCACTATGCTAGTATTTTAGTCGAGTCGGTTACGTCGTAAACGATTTTGGGACATTAGGATTTATAACATAAGGTGCATAACACGACAATATCACTTACCGGTGTAAGAAGGTCCAGGTTTATGTTGAGGTCGTCATGTTTCAATTTACAGTCTGAAAAAAAAAACAGTTAACATCAATGTTTAGTGTTCTGTGTTCAAATTATATAGTTAGTCATTTCTTTGGAGTGAATCCGTGGCCTTTACACACTTACATAAGTAGGGAAACATTTACCTACATATATACCTAAGTAGGTACTGCAGTAGCATTTGGCACAAGGTATAATGAAAAAGCTTACCGGCTCCACAAATCTTAGCCTTTTTGATCTTGTCTTTCAATGCTGGCAGTTGTTCCCTCAATGTTTCTATGGTGTCTTGATAAACCTTGTGTCTTGCGCTCTCTTTCATCAGGTCGTCATCGTGGTCCCATGTATAATCGGTTTTGCGCAATTCGTCTTGAACCAGTACTATCTGCTTCTCAAGTTCTCCATTTTGCCAAGCTGCTGATTCTCTATCAGGGCGATAATGAGAGGTACTTATTTACTATTATTAAATTACTAGGTATATATACATGTATGTAACCAGTACATAACTGAGGACTCAACACATGGGGGTCAAACAAATTAGTTCCGTGCGCCTTCAATTTTTGTCATAGCAAATTAGCTATAGTGTCCTATAGCGGTTGTTATTACAAAAAAATTTTTGAATCGTATAATGCAGCATGCAAATGGAAAATAAGGAAGTAATCTAGATATGCGCAACCTTGACCTAAGAGAATAAGGTCAACATTAAGTAGGTTAACATGAATAAGTTAATCAAGCAGGTACTTATCCGTCTATACTTGTCTTACATAAACTTATAGACACGTGTATTTCGTAATTAGTTACATCACTGGGATGCTAAAATATAATATTAAGACATAACTAATAAAAACCAGAAATCACTTACAACAACAGCATATCGTCATGGTGCTAACTACTTTCAAACTAGGTACAACTACAATTTAACTTGAATTTACTAACCGGCAGTTCTTTTCATGTTCCAATTCAGTTTTCAGACTTTCAATTTCACAATCGTTCATGATGGAATTTATTATTAAACTCTGTATCTAGTAATTATTATGCAGCCTGTGCTTGTAGTGAACACAGTGGTGCCTTTGGGCTTACGATTGATTAAACGCACGATGGCAACCCGTTATTAGAGAGATATTTGGTCCTTCAAACAGAAAATTTGCATTTTATTTCCATATTAGGTATACATCTGTAGCTAGGCGTTATTTGTCCTCACACGAAATTGATTTAATTGCAACTAACGGTTGATTTGATACCTATACAGTATAATAATTCTCTGTCTTTATTAATAATAATAAATAGCTGAAACATGTACTAACTGAAACTAGAGTATGGTAGCAATAATAAAATAATTGAGATTTTTTATTAGCTGCGTGTTTATTAAACTGTGAAAAACTATAAATTATTTTTAACGTTACCGGAGACGTTACCGTTAACAATAGACGGAACTAAACGTACTTTACGTCAAAATTCTCTGAACAAATGCCAACTTGACATTAAATGTCATTAATAAAAACAAATGATTTGAATTTTGAATTCAAACCGAAACGAAAGTTGAGTTTGGACGGAGAGATAATTAAAGTTTAATTAAAATGAGTTTGTTAAGTGCTGTTCTGCAAGAAGCCGATAAAGTTAGTATACAGGAATTGAAGAAAAATCGAGACCAAGTCTTACCACAAATAAAAGATCTAACCGAACGAGTGCAATTACTGTCATGGGCATTACAACAAAATATTATCGATACATTCGTAAATTTTACCATAACAAAGAGTTTAGAGCAATTAAACTATTATAATCGGAAAACCAAAATACTTTCTGATCATTCAAAATGCAACGAAGACATAAAATCACTCCACGAAAGATATGAAGTAAGTGATGAAGAATTTAAAACTCATTGTGTAAAGTTAAACAAATCAATGAATATCTTCAAAGATTTATGCGTTATTGTTGATGGAAAACGCATTTTAGAGAAGGCAAATCATGAATTTGGCAGGTACAACTATAGTGATGCTATGATGGCAGTGAAAAATTTGAAAATAGAATTAAAGAAACTAAAATTCGAGGGTAATATGGCAAAGGCTTTAACAGCTATCAATGCACAGGCTGAAAATCAACTCGCCTTGTACACAGCCCAGCTAAGTATTGAATGGGAAGATATTTTTACATGGTCTGAGAAAAAAGGTCTTAAATTCTTAACATACTCTTTGTCAGTACAACAGAGTGACCCATTTTTGTTGAAAAAGATTTTGAATACTTTGTATGTAACGAAAAGAATGTATGCAGAACTAGGCTTGTTTTCACATTTCTTTATTAACAATTTACTTCACAATGTTATTAGACATAACTGTGATATATTCACTGAAGACCACACCGGGGCTATTGTTTTCAACATTAAGATAAATCTGGATGACCCAAACAAACCTAATTACCAAACTATCTTTAATAATTTGACTGCAATTTTTGAATTCCTGCACTCAACTTTAGGCTCGCAGTTTGAAAGTGATTACAGCTTCATAGAAATATTTGCAGACACTATCCGTCAGAAATTTTTCAATAAAATAATTGAAGACTGCATTAGAATGAACTTACCATCTTGTGACAGTAGCTACCAAAACTATAAAAACATAGTAATTGAATTGGACGCTTTCAACAAGTTTTTGATCGATTTAAAATTCGTAAGAGAGGATGAATCACCTCTCGCCAAATACATTGATGACACTGAATGTGTGCTGTATAATAAGAAATGTGATAAATTACTTGCTGATGTCCGCATGCTGCTGAAAGAGAGCCTTTCTAGTGGTTTGATTGTTGTGGGCTCTGAGACCAATAATAACGAGAATGAATCTCTTCTAGATGTTACTGATAATGGCATTGTATGGAACATAACAAAACCGCTATTTCTGCCTAAATGTGTGATCTCACATAATGTTAAAGCAGTAATGACATTAATCTTAGAACATTTGGAAGAGAGTGCAAAGTTACCGGAGAAATACAGTAAGCAACTGGTCGGTTACATAAAGGATATTGCCATTATGTACCAGAGCTTTGTTCCTAAGAAGTTTAAGATTAATTTGGAATGCTGTCCTGCTGATATTGGTAAGAACAATGTCACCTAACATTTTATTAATTATTTTACTAATAATATTATTTACCGCAACATCCTTCCAAAACTGCTGCAACTCCTGTAAACCAGGATCTACAGTAGTTATAACCATGAAAAGAAGAAAGAAAGAGAAGTAGAAGAGAAGACATAAGAATTATTTATTTAAAATTCCGAAGCAGTATACATGCATAATAATATATTTTTTAAATAAAATTCATTCTTTTCAGCCCTTTTCTTCAACAATTGTTTCTACCTGGCACATGGTCTTCTTGGACCTCCTTGGTGTAACAGTCTTCCTAAGACTATGGCTGACCAGCTCAATGTGGTGCTGCTGGAGTGCATCCAAGATCTAAGAGTGTTGGGTCTTGAGAAGATATCCTTATATCTTCAAAACCAGAAAAGCAACATTATGCACAGTATTGATGGCAATGGTAATTTCTTGGTTAATCATAATACAATTAAACTTCATCATTACACTACAGTGGCGTTATGGCCTGGAGGTTTAAGACGCCTGCTTCTCATGTGTAAGAGGTTTGAAACCTACCAATAGCAAGTACCAATGTGACTATGTGTACTTTATAAGATTATTCAGACACCACTGACAAATGGTGAAGGATATCACCATGAGGAAACCTGAGCTTATAATTTCTAATTATGAGTAATTTCTAATTTTTAATTTCTAATTGTAAACCTGCATTAAGCAAGCGTGGTGATTAATAATCAAACCTTTTCCGTGTGAGTAGAGGCTTTGCTCAGCAGTGGGCAATATAGGCTGTTGATGTGATGTGATGTGTATTATGCCACGACTTTTGTTAAAGTGGTTCTGCATGTAGTGTCTACACTAACCGTTCTGGAATTAGTCACTGAGCTAAAAACATTTTCAACTTTATTAAAAAAGCATAAGGTTCAACATCTTAAAGGAATTCATGACTAGAATACTAAGTTTTGTCGTTATCAAGGTTTAGACGGGATTTAGTTTTGTTTTATGAATGTATTACTGTTAATTACAGGTGCCGAATGGACCCACGAGTCCTACGAGCAATTTGATTGCGCAATAAACAATGCCTTAGCGTTAATGAAAGATCTGAAGTCCTGTTGGCTTAACGTTCTACCCGCTCGTATGTATGAGATGTCCGTCTGCACTCTTGTGCAAGCATTGTGTCAGTCTATTCTAGACCGAGTGTTAGAAGACAGTAAACCGGTCACTGAAGAACTGGTTTACATGTTAGCTATGAGGGTTGAAAGTACGGCAGCTGAAATTTTTACGTTATTTGAGGTAAGCTCTTCTTCTTAATTCTGTACCTACGCTTTCCTGATAAAGTTAGCAGAGTTACACTCGCTGAGTGTATGATGTAGCACTAAAACAAAAGTTTTGTTTTCAAAAGTTATATTATCTCAGTACTAATCCCATGTACTAAGGACATGATGTAAAGATCTCAAGAACACTTTACTCGATCTGGGAATCGAATCGCAGATTACTGTACAGCTGTCACATGTTGATCACTCGATCAAAATCAATGAAGCAATCTCAATAGTGTCAATTTATGTTTAAGAAAACATACATAACATCACGCCTTTTATCCCCAAAGGGGTAGGCAGAGGTGCACATTATACCACTGTACAATGTAACACCCACTTTTCACTATTTATGTTATGAGTCCCATGTAATAGGGGGTGAGCCTATTGCCATATAGGTACCGGGCACAATTCCAGACTCCGTGCTACTACTGAGAATTATTTAAAAACCCAGTAATACTTTGCCCGACCCGGGAATCGAACCCGAGACCCCTTGCCCGGCAGTTGCACTTGCGACCACTCGGTCAACAAGACAGTCGACAACAACTGTTTATGAAAGATGTTGCTATTATAATAATAATTTTGTGACAACAGTATGTATTCAAGAACATAAGTACCTACCATTTAATTTAAATCACTTTGTTACAGGAGCCAATTGAATTCGACTCAAAAATAAATATTTGGTCGAAGTTCACAAAACTCCCCCAATTATTGAAGGCGCAATTGTTGGAAGTGTCTGACTTATGGAATAAAGACAGGGATCAGTTCCAGGGCTATAGCTGTGAAGAAGTACGCCATATTGTGAAGATGAGGTTTCCCGATGATAAATATAGGCTTAAGATATTGAAAGAAATACAGTGATATTTTTATAAATAACTGTGTTTTCTTTTTTCTTTGACTAACTCTGTTCTCAGAGGGTAGAGCGTTAATACAGCATTACGTGATTGCATCGCAATTTAAAAATCTAAGGTGCATAGGACTACTAAATTCAATGTTACAGAATCTAAGTGTTGTCTTTTCCAAAAGAATTTTCTCTTGTGTCGTGGGTGCGATTGTAAACCTACTATTTCATACATACATCACACCCACACCCGGAACCATTGGCGAAACTACAGGGTGGCAACTTGGCAAAATGCCATGAGCCTCCAGCTAGAAGGGGGCCCCGTTCAGAGGTTTTCATTTGAACTTCTCTGTTTTATCGGGAACCGCCCTTCCGATAAATTTTCCACGGGCCCCAAACGGTATAACACACCTCTGCCCAGAACATCAATTCCAGACTAAGTGTTGCTTACCTTAATAGTACCTACATAGATAACTCAATTATACATTCATGATTAGGATTCTTTCATGAATGTGGGAGAGCCAGGCTTCGGCACCAACGGCCCGGTTCGACCGGTGTTAGGAGATAACTCCCTCCCTCGGTTAGGTATACGATAGACAGACTCCAAAAACTAACCCAGCGTGCATAGCTGAGGATAAAGTCGAGCCCAGATTTACCTACCGACAATTTGATTTACATGGCCATTAACCCTTTAACCGCCGACAACGTAATATTACGGTTTTCGAAAGCTGTGTCCGAATCGCCACATACGTACAATCACGTTATTTTATTAAAAATCTTCTTATAGTGCACAAACTCCATATAAAATGTGTCAATTTCAAGATGTAGGGTATAATCTTTATTGTTATGGATATTTCTCAATGTTTTGAGTGATAAATACTGTGAAATTTG